AGAGAGAGAGAGAGAGAGAGAGAGAGAGAGAGAGAGAGAGAGAGAGAGAGAGAGAGAGAGAGAGAGAGAGCTCACAGGGCAACAGAAAGTAAGTGTGAAGGAGTGGATGTCACCGCTTGATTTGTTTGCTCAAAGGTGACTGAGTGGATTTATCGGTGACCATCAGTGTGTGTGTGTGTGTGTGTGTGTGTGTGAACATATGAATGAGTGACAACAGCAAAGCCTCTCGGTGACAGGTCGTGTGTGCTCGGCGGGGCCACACCCTTTGACGCCATGCAGCTGCCGAGCAGCAGCAAGGTTTGGTCGACGCATCACTCACGCAGTCGCCTCGGGGCGTCTCTAAAGTGCCCGCTCGTCACCACGATGATGAATATCATCAAAGCGCGTTGAGCTTCCTGTTTGCTCTGGCTACCGATCCACCGGGCCTGCCAGATAAACCCAGGTGTGTTGGGCTGATGAAAGCACTTAAACGGTGAAACAAAAAGGGCTGTTAACACACGGGGAGGCCAGCCAGCGGCTGAGAAAGTGTGTTTGTGTGTGTATGTGCTGCAAATGTGAAAGCAGTCTGTAATAGAAGATCATTTCTAATGAGCCAACTGGTGAAGAGGAGGTGGTACGGTGTGATATATATCCACGAAGAATCTGCAGGATTATTGTGTGTCTTCTGTTGCAGAAGAGTTATAGAGTCCCGAAGGAGCGTCCACTCTGGTGGACTTTAAAGATGTATTGTCTTTTATTGTAAAACTCAAACATTATTTAGCATTTTTCCACTTCCGGGTCCCTCGTCTTGAAGTCAATCGTTTTTTCTTAATGGGTTTTTGGTTGGATGAAGTGGTCATTGTGACGTCACGCATTGGTTTGTGAACTGCAGTTTTGTAGCCTCGAGTTCGCCATCTTGATGCTTTGACTGTCACTAATTTATTTTTTTTGCAGCCAGTGAGCGGAAGTGACCATATTTGGACTGAGGAGTGACGCACAGACGCTGTATACGTCTCTCAAAGCGACCTGTCAATCACTGTGTAGCCCCGCCCTAAAGCATCCCCTGCTTTATGGTCCGTTTGACTCTAAATGGACCATAATGTACTAAATGAACATCATGCTGTGTTGAAGAAGTCTTGAAACTAGAGATTGAGACCATAAACTCATGTTTACAATGTTTACTGAGGTAATAAATCAAGAGAGAAGTAGAGTCATTTTCTCATAGACTTCTATACAACCAGAGGAGTCGCCCCCTGGTGGTCACTAGAGAGAATGCAGGTTTAACACACTTCCTGATCGGCTTCATATGTCAGAACCGGAGGTTGCCGTCTGGTTAAAACATGCTTCAGAGGTGTTTGTTCAACGAGATAAAATAAGTAAGTAAATACTTCTCTCGTGAATTTTTAAGTGTCTTAAAAAAAGGTGGGTACTAACAAGTGTCTAAATGAGACGACTAACCGTCCTCACTACAACACTAGTTCTCCTTTAGTGGTGGTGACATGAAGTCATGTGACCGTGGTGGAGCTCCTTTACAGCCATTAGCTCTTTAAGTCTGACAATTGTATTCATGCTTTAAAAATCATAAAAGCGGTCTTCATTTGTGAAGATCATCTTGCTGATCAAACCCTGTAACTTTGCCACAGAGTTGGCCTTTTGTGGAGGGAACCAGAGCGACGCTAGCTCCCCGTCTCTGCGGCACTCTTTATGCTTCTTAAGGGTTTTCTTGGAGGCACCACACAGACGGCAGGCGAGCACAGTCTCTAAGTGGTTTCTTTGTAAAACAGCAGCAGCACTTCATCACCACGCTCCATTTGCTGCAATGACACGCATCATTTGCCGCTCCCTGCAAGGCTAGACGAGCACCACGACGGCCCCCCGCCCTCCAAACCCAACCCGAGCACTCTGGACACCCCCAGACAAACACACAGTCTGTCTAAATCAAAAAAAGACCTCACTTAGTGGATGGAACCGCACTCAACACCACACACATGTGTTAATCCTAACCTCCATGGCCCTGATGTTCTTCCAGAGGAGCACAGGAATACTGGCATGAAACCACAGGACGAGGGCCTGAACGAACAGACAGGAAGCGACCACGTCACCCAGCAGAACTCCACCAATAAACAGACTTAACAGAATAAACTATGACATTAGCGGCGAGGCCTCCACGAGCCACAGTGGCACCCGGAATTATTCACCATCAATTGTGAGACCGAACACCAATCAAACGGCGGAGAAGCCGCCTGTTTCTTCTTGTTTTATGTTCCAGAGGAGAAACTGAGCAATACTGTAACATTCAGGATATCAGGGAGACGACCTCGCACAACATTTTTAAGTGACAGCTCGAGACGGAACCATTTCACTTTGCTTTCAACGAGTCTTACAACACGCAGTGTTTTCCTCCCTCTCAACCACGAGTTCATTACGTCACTGATGTTATTACTGATTGTACTCGTGTCTATTTAACCATGACACTAGTTTTCTTATTGTTAAGCACCCTGAGCTAGGCCTACATTAAAGGGTGTTATATGATTATTATTAGGGCTGCAACTAACAATTATTAAATATAAATATTAAATGATTAATCTAGTGATTCTTTTCTTGATTGGTGGATTAATTGTTTGGTCTATAAAACATCAAAAAACTGTGAAACAATAACACAAGTTCCTTCAGTCCAAGAGGATGTTTTCTGATTTCTTATTGTGTTCGACCAACAGTCTGAAACCCAAACAGATGACATGTTACTAAAAAGTAAAACAATAGAGAGCAGCAAATCCTAACGTTTTAGAAGAGAATGCTTATTGTTTTTGCTTTAAAAACATCCGAAACAATCGCTGATTTCTTTCCTGTTGATCAACTAATTGCCTAAAAGAATCCTGTCGCTCTAAAACTATTATGATTATTAGTTTAAATGACTAAAACACACGAGTCCAACGCCCTCGTTGACGTGCAGCAGCTTCAGGCGCTTTGCTCTTGAAAACACGACAAACACGAACACAGAAGAACAATAAAGGAAAGTGTCTCTGTAGTAAATCTGGCCTCTGGCAGATTGGTCTGACTCCTGTTTTGAGTGCTGCCAGTTGAACCGCGGGGGCTTAATCCACACGAGACCGCCTGAGTGAAGGAGGAATCAGGGGGAGTTATGGTACAGAGAGACCCTCCCCAGGAAACAGATGCCATAAAGCAGCCCCCATACCTGGCAGTGGCTACTGCATCAATAGCTTAACAAAGTACTGCCCCCCCCCTCATGTGTGGCTAATGTCAGACACGTCCACCTGACAGAGAGTTAATGCACTCTGTGTTAGTGTTAGGACCAGGCCCCGTCCTAACCTAATCCTGCCTATACTTTGAAGTCGACGGGGGTGGAAGATGTCTGGAGGCCGGTTTTTACACCTCACATCACATCTTTCAGCAGACTTTGTGACAAGTTCAGGGCTGATAAAGTCTGTCTGAAACGCATCCGAGTGCGACCGTCAAACAGTGACAACACAGGAGTGGCTGCGACGCCATGCGACGTGGAAAAAACTAAGATCACACATGCAGGTAAATATTTATCCTCTCTGTGAGGGTACAGTAACAGGCCCACTGTGCAAACAGCACATTAGTTCCAGCTCTGTGGTCGTTTCATACCACAGATCCTCCTCCTCCTCTTCCTCCTCTCCTAACATCAAATGAAACGTCTCTATCAGTCACATGAACATCTTTCTTTTCTCTTTCACATGACAACACACACTCCTGGTGAGCAGCGGTGGAACGTAACCAAGTATATTTGGTCTACTACAACTTTAGAGGTACTTGTACTTTAGTATTTCTGCTACTTTATACATTACGCTACATTTCAGCTTGAAGTATACGTTTTACTCCACTACAGTTATCTGATAGCTTTAATTACTTTGCAGACACTCAACAAATACATTATGACGTAATATTATAGATTGAAATTAAACTTTATTGATCCCTGTGGGGAAGTTCACCAGCTACCCAGCAGATAAAGTATGAGGTCATTAAAATAAGCTCCACCTTTAGCAGCTGATAATATATATGTATCACAATCCAGCAATATATATATATTAGTGCTTAGTATATTAGTGCTGGGCAAGTTAACGCGTTATTATCGCGTTAACGCATTCATTAATTAACGCAGACAATCGAGATTAATCGCAAAAAATCCATGCGATTAAATATTTGAATCGTTGCCCAGCACTAATATATATATATATATATATATATATATATATATATATATATATATATGCGATACCGAAAAGTTCTGCATACTTTTAGTTTTGGTACTTTATATTTTGATGCCAATACTTTTGTGTGAGTATTTCTACAATGTGTTATTGCTAGTAGAGTACTTCCTCCACCACTGCTGATGATGAGGTACTGTACATAGTACTGCAATAAAATAGCACAACACATATTCACTTTTTAAAAAGCTGACCTGACATCACATAGTAGAGTGTGATGAAACATTTAGTAAGTGGAATTTAACTCTATAGAAACTATAAAAGCTGTAATACTGAATGTTATATTCTCAGTGGTTACTGATCCTACCCACCCCCCCCATAATAAACCTCCCACTGTGCCGGTCCGGCCTCTTCATCAAATGAAGACATCAGCAGCAGGTTTTGTTTTTCATTTCCACCTGTGTGATCTACCTGCGGGTGAAGATTGTGACTCGGTAGATCTCACCTCACCTGACTGACTGCCAACGAAAACATGGCACATTAACAACGAGGCTGCAGGACTGCCAGAGACAATAAAACAAGTGAGATGCGACTCTCACTGCGTTCAAAATGCTTCAATCTTGTGCAAAAAAGAAGTAAAGAGTTAAAAAAAATGCATGAAATATGTAAAACATATTTAAATTAAATAAATAAAACAGTATGGCATTTATGTCCGCATGCATTGATAAACTGAATAATTAAATGCATAAATAAGTAAACACTGCTAATAAATTGACCTAATTAAATAACGTAGTGGTTACTAGGGCTACTGACTGGATCCAACGACACATGCGTCTGTATATTAGTTCATTATGTTCATAATACTACACATTTAAGGCCTCCGTGTGTGATTTAAAGCCACGTACCGTTGAGGTGAGATCCGGACCCCGCGTCCTTCCAGCTGACACCACATTGATTAGAGAGTCCTGTCGCCAGTTACTCAACGGGTTTCTTTAAGAACATGAACTCAACACACGCCGTCGCACGGAAACCACAGAACTAAACACGAACATTTCTTTCTTCTTTTGACACTCCGTGACATCGCATGTGCCGAAGAGGGAGAAAGTAAAGCAAAAATAAAAGAGTTAAGAAACCTCTCCTGTCCCTGGGAGCGCTTCCACTGAAGCTAGATTATGAAGCCCAGAAACGTGTAACAAAAATGTAAACGTGCCACAAAGTTGAGATATTCCATGAGTTGTTACTCCTCTAAGGCAAACTGGTGGAAAAGTATGTCAGTGAAGAAGTTGGCCAAATGTTTTAAGACCTGAACTCCGCCTGAAACGCGTAAAGTCGGAGGAGATAGTTAAGCTAGCATGACTAGCTAATATAACTTCCGGTATTTACTTTCAAAGTAAAATCCACTGCGAGATATGAGTAGTGCGATGCTTTTATTTCGAAGACAAAAACAGCCACTTCCGGCGCAACTTCTTCTTCTCCGCTGCAGTTACTACTCCGGTTTCTCCTGGGAAGCGCAAAGACGAGCCGGAGTTTTTTGTTTTTTTTCTTCCTCAGGAGGTTAGTATATTAAAAGAGACCTACAGCAACACAACGAGTAACATCTGGGAGAGCAGATGTGTCTTAAAACGTGTTTCCTAAACACATGCATGCAATATAAAACAGTAAGCCAGGGTTTAAAGCAGAATTAGCCCCAAAATGCCAGCTAGATATGATGCATTCAAACAAACATTGTGCGAGTTGTAAACTCAGACTTCCCATGTGCGTGACTGAGGTTTCTTTTACCTTTACCTCCCCCCACACGTTTCTTTCTTTTTTTCATCTCCGCCCCACAGTTCCCTTGAAAACAATTTGATGAATTGCGTTGGCACGGATCCAGGCAATGCGAGTTCATTATGGGTTGGTAACGGTGCGAATTATTACAAACAAGCTGTAGTGAAGCTGGCGCAATTCGTCGAAGCCCTCTCGCTCTGCAAGTGCAACATAATCTCCTCTGACTCAGTCAGACCTGAGGATATAACTTTATGTTTTAATGCCAAATCAGAGTCTGCTTTCAGATTGCTTCCTGCTTTGCTGAATGTCTTGCTGAAGGGCACTTTGGCAGGATGGGTTGGACTCTTGTTGACTTCATCTGCTGCAATTAGTGCTTTGATACGTCATTGGACACAGGACACCATATCCAAAATATAGTGGATGCCAAAAGTAAAAACACAGATGGCACACAAACACCAGAGATGCTGTTTCAACATGGACACAGGCCAAAATCCTAACTTCCATACACACGTTTTAACAGGGGTGGACTCGCTGATTTGGTGGCCCCTAGGCAATGGTTAGCATGGGGCCCCCTAAGTCCGAACCCTGACCCCCATCACACCGAACCAGCCGTTATTTAAAAATACTGCATCCTGGAATAACCTCTGTTTAAAAACTACAGGTCTACGGGTTTTGTTCTGAAGCAACTATTCTACATTTATTTGTTATAGGAAATGTGCTGCCGGCTGTTCTCAGTGGTGTATAAAACATTTGCCTTTAACATCAGTGTTCTACGTTCATGCGGCTTCTTTGTGATATTTTTTATTATTTGCTTGCAAAAAGATGTATTTATTTAATATATAAATGTATTTATTATTTATTGACACAGCAGACAAAGAAGCATGTGATTTGTTTTTGTTTGTCCTCCAAAGCTAGAGATATTTTAAAGAAATTGAACCCGCATTTTGTATCATTTATGTAAAAAAAATTATGTTTGTGCTAAAAGTTACAAATCGGAGACATTTATCCTTTGATCCATTTTTCCACATTTTCTTTTATTATACCAACAAAATTAAACAATTGCGTAAGTTCATAACATGGACGTGTTCTCTCGATGTAATATTGTCCCACTCTGTGAATGTAAGTTCTCTATATGTTGTCTAAACTTTACCTTTGTGCACTCGGGTATTTCCCATTTGAAACTTTCACGTTGTTAACTACTGCAGTTGGTGTTGTTATAATAAGTCATAAACACAGTTATCTTTCTGCTTAAGTCGGTTAGATGAGTGCAGGCGGCTTCAGGACTCCTGGAAAGTTGAAAGGACGGAAAGAGGAGCTGGTGACCGGCTGCTCTGTCCACTCACAGGTCTTTGGGGGGGGGGGGGGGGGGGGGGGGGGCGTCCGCGAAGGCACAGCGGAAACACAATGGGGGTCTATGGAGGACACACAGGCCGACAGACAGTTCAACGGGTCCTCTGAGCAGATAAGTCGTCCCCCATACAAACCAGACGAGGCTTCACTGATATTGACCCGCGAGAACAGCGCGTCCACTGAGCCTCCCCACCTTGAATGGCCTTGTTGAAAAGGAGAGCCATAAATTGGCGGATGAGCAGAGGAAGGGGGAGACTCTGCCTCCCCCCCTCTACCTCCCGCCTCCTCCTTTCCTCACATACTATCTCTTTCTTTCCTTTACCAAGTAGTGGTTTCCATCTCACCAAACCCCTTTCCCCTGAATGTTTAAAAAGATGAAAGGATAAGGAAAAGAATGGAGACAAAAGAGGGGAGGGTTACGTTACAACCCTGCCCCTGAGAGACTGCTCATGAAAGAGTTTGGGGATGGGAGAGATAGGGACCGGAGAGGAGACACAGAGAGGGGGGGGGAGATCATGAAAAGAGGTTTTTCAAACTCAAAGCCACTAAAACGGGTCACTTCTGTATAGAGAGGCGGACTAAAGTGCAGTCTTCACTGAGGGACGGAGACATTTAACACTGTCAATACCCGCAGATGGAGGGGAGCGATGATGTAGCTGCTTGCACCCGTTGACTGACAAACACACACGATCACACACACACACACACACACACACACAGTCTCTCAGAGGTTTCTCTTAACCGTGCCCACCGTACAGCAGCACCACATTTAGATTTGGGGGAATGTTCTCTCTTCACCGTTAACACATATACACACTGCCTGGTGTCTCCCTCGTGGCGTTCCTCCCTCTTGGCATTTAGTGTCAGTCACCCGAAATCCCTGCAACCCTCCCACCATTCTCTCGATCTCCATCTTTGTCTGAACTTGCCCTGCATGCACTTGGATATTTCTGCCTCAGGGTGCATCAGTGAGAGCTGGAGTCAAGAGAAAGAGAGCGAGGGACAAAGTTGTTAGCTAGAGTGTGGACAGGAGTGACGATTTAAAAGGTTTATCTTGCTCTCGCTTTTGCACACACAACACACAACACACACGCACATTCAGACATGCAAAACTAACCATTTCACAATCAAGGAGATATCCGCTGGGTTGCACCAACAGGCATTTGTTTTTAAACCTGATTAAATTGTTTAGCTTTAAATCATGTTGCACCAAACTTTAAAACTCGCTCAGAATTAAGAAAGATTACATTTAAACTTCTCTTTAGGTTTTACTCTAAACCTGTGATCCTAGTATTCCTTTACTTACACTTGAGGAGGTTTAACTTGTAAAATGGCTGCTTTTTCAGATGGATTGAGCCAAATGATCAAGTTCCTTGAGGAAAGTTAAGTGACAGTTTTATGATGCTGCTGCTGAATTTCGGCTAACAGGCAGTCTTATTTTTATCGCCTATTAGTTGGCCTTATTGCTCCATTTATTCGGCCAAGTTTTTCTCAAACGAGGAGAAATTAGACTCTGTGGAGTCTTAACGAGTACCGTGATGCTACTAACTCACATTTCAGTGAGCTAGAAAACGACTTCAGGTTTTGTTGAGGTTCGCTCTCTTTAATAACTTACTATCCCGACAACATGCAAATGTATTTATTTATTTTAAAATGTATTGTAATTTGGGTAAGCAAACATCTCCATATTGATTTAACTTTTATGTTGGTTTAAAATTAGATTTAATAAACAGAGATTAGTTTTTAATTGTGCAACTCATTTTAGTTTTTTGCTAAACTCTAATCTTAGATTCAATGAATCATTGTTGGTGCAAACCAGCCCTCGAGGTTTATTCAAGGTTCATTCACAGTGCAAGTTTTCCTTCATGCTCTCACAGGTCACATTAAAAGATTTCCTAAATCCCAGATTCACCAAAAGCCTTTAAAGTTAAGTCACAATACGATGCAGAGAATCTGTTTTTATATGATTTGTGAACAGATTTTCGGTTATTAAAGCCCCACGAAAAACAAAACCGATCCTCTTTCTGAACCTGCCTTGTGCTCGAGGAACCTGCAAAGCCTCTGGCAACATCACTCGCTGTGTCTCGTAGCGCTGATATCACTTTCACCAGAATCACTTTCTTCTGCTCACGACCCCCCTTTTTTCAATCGTGACATGTTCAACCGACTCTCATTTCCAGATGTCACTTCACTTTCCCACACGCGCAGCGCCATCACACATCAACGTATTGCTCTCGCTTTGGACTTCCTCCTTTTCGTTTGAAACTCGGATCTGAGCGTAATTGGAAGGTAGCTATTAGGGCAATTACTGCAAATAGCTGAGCCGAGCTGTCAGGGCGAGTCCGACAGTCTGTCTGTCCACCGAATCAGACGTCAGACCTCAATTACGGATCCTCGGCCTCCTCCGAGGAGCGCGGTGTGTCGGTCCTTCATCATCTCCTCTTCTCCATCTTCTCACACTTTGATTCTCTCCCACTAATTTGTTTTATCCTTTTTATTGTCCCCTTCATCACTCGCCTCACATACCACACTCGACTCCCTCCTCCCCCCTAAATTCAAACATCTCACTAGTAAGAGCTGCACCAACATCACTGCCATTATTACATTATTACCACACACACACACACACACACACGTACACACACTGAGGTATAGCTGCACATGTTTCCAATTTCAGGCATAATGCTCCTCTCTGCGCAATCTGACCCAATTAGCCAAAGCCTACTGGAAATGCCCCAGTCGGCAGCCATGGTGGTAAAGAGGTAAAGGGTCAAAGGTGAGGTCATTCACATAGGGGGGTCGGACCCTGATGGTTGCATCACCTCCTGTCTGTCCGTCTGTCTCACAGTCTGTCATAAACATACCTGGCTGCAGCGCTTTAGCTGCTTTCCAACTGCCCCATACAATATATATATATATATATATATATATATATATATATATATATATAT